AAGGCATAGCTAGAACAGCAGAAATACAACTCGACGAATGAACTGCTATTTGAAGAATAAGTTTATCTGCTAGACTAAACGTCATTCCCTTTATATCCTGAATTTGTCGAGGATTAGGCAAATAAAAACGGAAATTCAAGAGGTAAGCATACTTTGAAAGTATGATATATAGGTCCCGAGTACAAAAAATTTAGTTTTGTTTTCCTGAAAGTTCTGATGTTGGTCAAATGAAACATCATGATCATTATTATGTTCCCATAGACTTTCACTAGAACACGTTTTTTTTTGTCTCGTGTCCACGCTTATATGCAACCGACGGTAGTATCACGAACGGGATACATTTAAATCTAGGCAAGGCCACATGACCAAGAATTAACCAATGACTGTCCCTGTTTAGTTGGTCAGGAATATATCATTTAGACTCGTTTATTTCGTAAGCATCGTAAAGTATTCCGTCAAATCTCTATGGGATTTGAATTGCTATATTTGAATAAATGCATGAACGAATGATGAATCAGCTTTATCTAGAGAGGGTGAGGAGTTCTCAGTTAAAAATCTCAAAACGATTCGGACCTTTAAATTATAAAAAGTAAAATTGACAAAACGGTAAAAAAGATAATGCTAACACTAGATACTTCAAAATCAAATAAACTATTTGCACATAACCTCTCATGAAAACTACATGTTTAAAAATCATTGAGGCGCTTTTTAGAGCTATTTACACTTGCTACATTCAATACAGTTTTTGGGCGCCTCCGAAGAAAATGCATCAACCAGAGTTTTCTTTCTTCCACTTCCTGTACCACAGAGTGCGAGCAGTCTCTCTTTTTCTTCAGGGTTTATAGCGAGGGGAGTCCACGCGCGCGAGCGTCGAGCCACGAGACTTCTCGTAGTCTATTCCTGCACCAAAGCGTTTTTGCGCTTCAATGGTGTCACGACGTATTTTTTACTTAATTGTAACTGTTCTGATTGGTCAATCGGAGCCACATTTTTAGCACTTCGTCTTTTGGCGTCTTCCAAAACGCTTCAAAATTCTTCCACCCGTGTGTAGACGTTTCCATGATATAACTATTGCCAGGGTCGAGATGTGTGTTGGTGAAAGCACCATAAACTAAAGTCTGACAAAACCTCGAGGCTATTAATACAGGCAGCAATTCTATCTCTTCGTTCGACAAGGGGTTGACAGAATAATATCCCGCGAAAAAATGTCCCGCCGCCATTCGAGATTCCTCGCAGTTCGATACATTAGGGAGATTCAAGCAGTATGTAAGCGAAATTGCTACATCAAAGACACGGCAACTATAATTGATATCTGAAAAGTCGATGAAGCCAAAGTCTGCTGCAAGATTATCATTATTACCACTACGTCGAACCAATAACATATTTGTGTAATTCGCGTCTCCATGGATGACCTGTTGCGGCAACAGATGAATTTTGGGTGTTACATTTTTCCTAAAGGATTCACAAACCTCTTGGATCATTTCAATGAAATGATGGTCATTCAAAACGTCAAGAAATGGTTCTATTTTTTCACCTGTAGTAGCTAAGTTCCATGCTAAGTCATCGCGTCCAAGCTTTGGACATCCAAAATCCTGTAAAACAAAGGAGATTGTGGTAGGGCGATGGTTTGCAAGCGATTTTCATCGCCTCGTTGCCTGGGCGCTTTCTGTGATTTTCGGCAGTAGTCGTGGTGCAAAGGTTTATGAAATTTTTTGGACTAAGGCGGGAAGGATCATGAAAAACGTTAAAAGTGCTAAGATGTATGGAAATGCTTCGCCCATCCCTCGTCCTCTTGCACCGCAACTATTGCTGGAAATCCCAAGAAAAACCTTGGTACGAGGCAGGGCTTCTATTTCACCTTCCGGTTCGTCCCTAAAAAAACGGAAGCTATCTAGACGTCCTGGGCGATTATATCAGTCTGGAGACCAGGCTTAACAGCCCGTGTGTGCAGGCACTTTCAAGTTCTCGCACACAATTCGCGGATCTGTTTTTAGCCCTCCTGCTCGATCGCCTGCCTCGCTGACCAGGAGCACATAACCGTGAGCGCGCAACTCCCATACTTAGCCGATACAACGGCGTTTTCACAGACCAAGGTATTTTTACCATCATTTTTGTAGGACTTCTTCCAACAAAAATAGAGGCACCGTCCAGTATGCGTGCACATCCATAGTACGATACTTACAAAAAGAGGAAGTAAATGCTATCAAAACACCAGGAATAGTTTTTTAAGTCTTCGGTTTTTGATGACCGTTTTGTAAGAATTATATGAAAACTTGAAGTTTGAAGACTTAATTTCAAAATTCGCAGGAAAAATGATCTAAAAATAAACTGGTCTGTGAATTATGTTTATTTTGCAACAAAACAATAAATGCTAATAACAAAACGCGAAGAAGTAACAAAGCAAGGTTTCTGTAAAATACTCTGAAGAAAACTCCGTCCTCGGGGAAGTCTCTTATTAGAATTTATTCACTCTATGTCAAATGACCCCAGAGGAGGAAAAAAAATCAAACTTGAACGGTCGAAACTGGAGAGCATTAAAAATCACTCAATACTTCACAACTCGATTATTTGTGGCGTTAAAATTGAGTTGACAGCTTAGCTGGCATGAGATTTGACCCATGCTTCGCCCTGCGGGTCACGTTTTTTCCCCCATGAACGTGCCAAGTCTACGTAGCAAACATAGGGACAGAATCAGATCATCTTTCAATTCCATTCCATGATATTTACTGCTAGCCTTTTCCACTTCATTCCGGCTTCATTCGTTTTTAAAAATTTCTTTTTAGAGAATTTACTTAACCGGTACAATTGTCAAATGCTTCATCTAATCCTACTTAAGAAGAATTAAGGAGTTACCCAAAAAAGGAAAGATACAGAAGATGCATGCCCTCAGGCCAGGCGTTGCTTGTACAAATTTTTGGTTCGAGCGCGGCTGTATGTTTACTGAACGAATGATTCAATCTGCAAACAACTTGTTGACCAGGCTATTTTTAGTATTTTTGGAACGCTCGCATTAAGAAAACATCCTTATAAATGAACAACCTATATGTCTGTATTAATTGACCCTGATCATAGTTATTAACGTGGAATTGTTATGAAACCCGTTAGAATCCTTTGTTATATATTTTTTTTACCTTTTTTGGGCCTGACGGACGTTTAAAAGCATTCCTATCATTTTGAACTTACAGACCAACAGAAACATCGCATTCAGTTATTCAGTCACAATTTGGGACCAAAAAACAAAGGATTGTGTACGGCCAGGGAGCTTCCAACATAAGCTACAATGCCGTTGTTTTCAACTTTGATGTTTGCCGGCTTTCATGACCATTCTCCTCTTCTAACTATGCCCTGATTTAAAAAAGCTACAAAATTTTAAAAAAATGAAACTTCCCAAGCGATGAAACATCAAGCCATTAAATTTGATACCTGACGATTACAGCCGGTGGTGGAAAGCAGGTCAGCATAGTAAGGGGACAAACCACACAAGAAAGACGAGAATTTTATTAGTTTACAATACAAATTCTATACTTCAGCCATACCAACAACCCCATACCTACCCTGACAAGAACACACACTGACAAGCAAAGACAAAAGACACTTGACATGGAAATTTTGGAATAAAACTGGGGAGAAATATGCAGCCAACCTTCTTTAAAATGGGCTCTCTAAACTGAAAAGCTGGGGCGGATCCAGAAAGGGACAGAACCTCATCACAGAAGTGTCTGTAATGTAGAGGTCGGCACCCTGTAAGATTGACTATGACTTTAGGACCAAGTGAATTGTGTACAATCAAGAGGTTTCTGTATTATAGCGGAGGAGTGGGAAAGGAAAGGTTTAACGGTACGGCTAATTCTTCGTAACCAACTTGCGTTGCCCAAATTTGAGTGGCGTTTGCGATATCCAGTAAAGTGACGTAAATCGTACAGGAAAAGGGACGGCAATCAAGAAAACCTTGTGACAAAGTTGCGTTAGCACACCTGTTTTTATTAGCTAAAGAACATGACGGAAAATTCTACGCGTTATGTGAAGAAGAAATAGCCGAGCTATTGCCTTAAGGCATAGCTAGAACAGCAGAAATACAACTCGACGAATGAACTGCTATTTGAAGAATAAGTTTATCTGCTAGACTAAACGTCATTCCCTTTATATCCTGAATTTGTCGAGGATTAGGCAAATAAAAACGGAAATTCAAGAGGTAAGCATACTTTGAAAGTATGATATATAGGTCCCGAGTACAAAAAATTTAGTTTTGTTTTCCTGAAAGTTCTGATGTTGGTCAAATGAAACATCATGATCATTATTATGTTCCCATAGACTTTCACTAGAACACGTTTTTTTTTGTCTCGTGTCCACGCTTATATGCAACCGACGGTAGTATCACGAACGGGATACATTTAAATCTAGGCAAGGCCACATGACCAAGAATTAACCAATGACTGTCCCTGTTTAGTTGGTCAGGAATATATCATTTAGACTCGTTTATTTCGTAAGCATCGTAAAGTATTCCGTCAAATCTCTATGGGATTTGAATTGCTATATTTGAATAAATGCATGAACGAATGATGAATCAGCTTTATCTAGAGAGGGTGAGGAGTTCTCAGTTAAAAATCTCAAAACGATTCGGACCTTTAAATTATAAAAAGTAAAATTGACAAAACGGTAAAAAAGATAATGCTAACACTAGATACTTCAAAATCAAATAAACTATTTGCACATAACCTCTCATGAAAACTACATGTTTAAAAATCATTGAGGCGCTTTTTAGAGCTATTTACACTTGCTACATTCAATACAGTTTTTGGGCGCCTCCGAAGAAAATGCATCAACCAGAGTTTTCTTTCTTCCACTTCCTGTACCACAGAGTGCGAGCAGTCTCTCTTTTTCTTCAGGGTTTATAGCGAGGGGAGTCCACGCGCGCGAGCGTCGAGCCACGAGACTTCTCGTAGTCTATTCCTGCACCAAAGCGTTTTTGCGCTTCAATGGTGTCACGACGTATTTTTTACTTAATTGTAACTGTTCTGATTGGTCAATCGGAGCCACATTTTTAGCACTTCGTCTTTTGGCGTCTTCCAAAACGCTTCAAAATTCTTCCACCCGTGTGTAGACGTTTCCATGATATAACTATTGCCAGGGTCGAGATGTGTGTTGGTGAAAGCACCATAAACTAAAGTCTGACAAAACCTCGAGGCTATTAATACAGGCAGCAATTCTATCTCTTCGTTCGACAAGGGGTTGACAGAATAATATCCCGCGAAAAAATGTCCCGCCGCCATTCGAGATTCCTCGCAGTTCGATACATTAGGGAGATTCAAGCAGTATGTAAGCGAAATTGCTACATCAAAGACACGGCAACTATAATTGATATCTGAAAAGTCGATGAAGCCAAAGTCTGCTGCAAGATTATCATTATTACCACTACGTCGAACCAATAACATATTTGTGTAATTCGCGTCTCCATGGATGACCTGTTGCGGCAACAGATGAATTTTGGGTGTTACATTTTTCCTAAAGGATTCACAAACCTCTTGGATCATTTCAATGAAATGATGGTCATTCAAAACGTCAAGAAATGGTTCTATTTTTTCACCTGTAGTAGCTAAGTTCCATGCTAAGTCATCGCGTCCAAGCTTTGGACATCCAAAATCCTGTAAAACAAAGGAGATTGTGGTAGGGCGATGGTTTGCAAGCGATTTTCATCGCCTCGTTGCCTGGGCGCTTTCTGTGATTTTCGGCAGTAGTCGTGGTGCAAAGGTTTATGAAATTTTTTGGACTAAGGCGGGAAGGATCATGAAAAACGTTAAAAGTGCTAAGATGTATGGAAATGCTTCGCCCATCCCTCGTCCTCTTGCACCGCAACTATTGCTGGAAATCCCAAGAAAAACCTTGGTACGAGGCAGGGCTTCTATTTCACCTTCCGGTTCGTCCCTAAAAAAACGGAAGCTATCTAGACGTCCTGGGCGATTATATCAGTCTGGAGACCAGGCTTAACAGCCCGTGTGTGCAGGCACTTTCAAGTTCTCGCACACAATTCGCGGATCTGTTTTTAGCCCTCCTGCTCGATCGCCTGCCTCGCTGACCAGGAGCACATAACCGTGAGCGCGCAACTCCCATACTTAGCCGATACAACGGCGTTTTCACAGACCAAGGTATTTTTACCATCATTTTTGTAGGACTTCTTCCAACAAAAATAGAGGCACCGTCCAGTATGCGTGCACATCCATAGTACGATACTTACAAAAAGAGGAAGTAAATGCTATCAAAACACCAGGAATAGTTTTTTAAGTCTTCGGTTTTTGATGACCGTTTTGTAAGAATTATATGAAAACTTGAAGTTTGAAGACTTAATTTCAAAATTCGCAGGAAAAATGATCTAAAAATAAACTGGTCTGTGAATTATGTTTATTTTGCAACAAAACAATAAATGCTAATAACAAAACGCGAAGAAGTAACAAAGCAAGGTTTCTGTAAAATACTCTGAAGAAAACTCCGTCCTCGGGGAAGTCTCTTATTAGAATTTATTCACTCAAGTGGGTGGGGTGGGGGTGAGGGCTTATTTGAGTTTGATTAGGAGGAGGAGGGGGTGGGCGCTTATTCGAGGCTAGGCGCTTATTAACTTTTTCTTCCTTTAGGATGGGCGCTTATTCGAGGTGGGCGCTAATTCGAGGTTGGGCGCTTATTCGAATAAATACGGTAACTCTGTATGATAGGCTCCGCCCTGTAAGATCATACCTTTAAATCTTGATGCAGTCTTCCCAAGGCGAACCCAGCATCGAAGCAAAGTTGGGTGTTAAGCGGTATTTCGTGCAGCATTTGTCCGGGTACAAAAGTCAGTAATCGCACAGCACACACATAGTATGCCTCGTTAGAATACTCCTCACCGTTGTAAATTTCTATCTCTTCTTTATCGGCCAACTCATTGGTTTCCATGGTAACACTGTCAGGCGGGGCAACCTTGGGTATTTTACACATGACAAATGTAGTGTCGTAAACGGAAGGGACTGGGACTGGGCAAGCATGGTCACGTGACTGGAGAAATGACATGACGTCAGATTGTGTCTTCATTAAACCTTCGTGATTCGAGTCCATGTGGTTCACAACTTTCAGAACGTATTCATGACTTGGAAGTTTTTCCTTCTCTTTTCCCTCTGTATTCAACAAACCACGAACAAAAAAATTCCTGTCGTCATAACCGTCCAATTCTTTCACAGAAGAATCATCTAAAATGTGCAGGTTGAACAGGTTTGTTGCTAAGGTAACAGCTTGCTGCTTACTTACCCATGGCCTTCTGGGAAGCAGGCACGAGGGGTTGTTTTCCCGTGGAGTATTCTAGAAAGAATTAATCATTTGAGTTAGAAAAAAAAAATTAAAACGAAAAACTGATTAATGCAATGATCGATGCAAAGGTTTTTTACTATTGATCCTAGCAGTGCGCAGGACGCATGTTATACATGAACACTGTATATCGCCCAGCTGGCCACGAGTCATTCCTAGCTCAGTGGTTAGAGCATCCGATCGGGATATGGAAGGTCACAGGTTCAATTCCTGTCGGGAACTCAGATTTCCTCTTTGTTCTGTACTCGTGACATGTTGATCACATCATTTCTCATTCACAAGACGTTTCCCGAAAATCGAGTAGGAAAGTAAATGAACACAACTTTTCGGGTCGTTCCAGTGGAAGATGTACTGAAGCAATTAAAAACGGAATTTCTGAAAAGGTAGTCCTGTTTCTCCGGACGGTATGCTTACTACGGAATTAGAAACTGCTTCGTGTTCCATTTCTTTAAATGCATCTTTGATACTAGTTTCAGGCTTTCGCGGACGTTTTGTGACAACTGGATTTGATTTGTGCAGATGGTAAACGCGATTCTGGGAAGAATTAAATTTTCATGTAAACGGGAAACAAACAATACTTCCCTTCTCTTCCCTTCCCTTAAGTTTTACACCTTGTAGCAGATAAACAACGTAAACTGCCGCTTATACCCCCCAAGTTATAGGCCCATCTTCTTGTAAGCAAAAGCGTACTATAGAGTGTTTTCACTCACGTGGCCAGCATCTATGCAAATTTATTGGAACAAAAGAAAGCGTTTGCATAAGAAAAGAGTTCAACTCCCAGAGGATTGGTGTGGGACACCAATATTGCCGCCGTGACGTCATGTCAAAACACTCTATACAAAGTGCAAGAAAAGGTGACTGGATCAAGAAGACTGGAAAACGGACTTGTTTTCCATTGGATCCTTCCCGGCGCCAGAACGACTAGCCGAGCAATCGCCACAAACTTTGAAGAAGAGATCATTCGTTTGAAGAATTTATGCACTCGCTCATTCGAAAGGGGCGCTTATTGGAAGGAGGGCGCTAAATCGAATCATTACGGTTTTGGAGGCCATCTTGACGTGTAGGAAACCTTGTGAAAATATACAGTGCTGTATGTAAAAAATTTTTCTTCCGGCCGACTAAAATTTCCCATGAAAAATTGCAGGCAAATGTCTGGAAAATCTAAACCAAGCGGCTGGACAAATTTAGGCAAAGGTGCGGCCCCCATTAATTGTTAGTACAATCCTGTGGTGTGAAGCTTAAGTTTACAATTCTTTTTTTTTTTTTT